AAACAAGAAGCGGCTTTCATCTGGACTCAACTCTACACTTCTTTCATTACACCTATGTGTCACAACAACCAGTGTTCATCAGCACATTTCTGACACAACTCCTTTATGGATCCATCATTCTGTGTACTGCCCAGGCCCCTGGGCAGACTTATCCCTTAGGCAATAACATCCTTCATTTGGGACCCCAACGTCTTTCTGCTTCATGGTTGCCTCTCTTATTTTGATGGAGAAAAGGATCTAATAGCGTTCTAAGACAAAAGATAGGTGTTTTGATTTGTTGCATGTCTGAGAATGTCTTTATTCTACTACTACATGCCAATGAGAGTTAAGCAGGTCTATAATGAGCTGCACAGGATTTTACATCCAAAGATTTCAAGTAGCACTTCATAGCTTCCCTACCTCCAGCTCTGCTGTTAAGAACTCTCATGACATTCTGACCCCAGCTCCATCTACCCCACAACACCCCTACCCTTTGAAGCTTATGAAATCTTATCCCCATCCCTGATATCCAGAAATGTCCCAGTGATGTGTCCTTCTCTGGGCCCAGTTCATTCTTTTTGGTGGAGATTTGGAGGGCCCTTTCAATGTAGCAATTTAAAAATTTCTCCTTTCTACTCAGGGAAAACAAATTAAAGTGCTTTCTCATTTCCTGCAGAATCTCTGTTCTCTGCTTTTTTACCTCTTATTTGTCAGCACTACAACTCTTGGAATGAACTCATCTGGGACTTTCCAATCTTCTGAATGTCACAGCACACACAAAGAATGATACCACTACTATACTTTGGGGCAAGGTTACTTGCTGTAGAAGTGTCCAGCTCAAATCTCCAGCCACCAGGCTGCCCCCTCCAGCTGCCCTGAGTTGGAGAGGTCAACACTTTGATAATGCCCCAACACACAGTAAAAAGTTCTACTCAGACTTTTACTTCTCTTGTGTTTTCCATAACAATTACATTTTGTCCCATTTTCTGGAGAAAGGCCATTGTCCTCCAATCTTTCCAATGATTTTTTTTTGTTGTTGTTGTTGTTAATGTCAGTTGTTACACTTTTTAATTTCCAAGGACTCCCTGATTCCAATTACCAAAGAACATACACTATAGTTCTCTTGAGCTTCTTTTGCACCCTGCCTTGTCTTTCCCTGGTGTTTTGCTATTGTTGTGGTAGTGGTGGTTGGTGTTTGTTTTATTTTATGCAGGTTTCTCTTTCATGCTTAATATTCCCAAAAGTGACCATCAAACCCTGGGTGTCAGTCCATATTTAGGGGAAAACACAAAAGACTGCTGGAAATTCTGTTTACACAGTGGGACTTGTCAGCTGGGGACTTCTCTGATCAAGAAGTCACAGTAGCTTTTCTGCTGAAGAATGGCAAATAGAAAAAACCTTGGTCCAGCTACTGGAGCTGATGTGTAAGTAGCTGGAATGGGGACTGGGGTGCTTCTGCTGGATCCCTTCTCCCCTCATTTCACCCAGTGCTTTTCCCACCACTCAGTGTCTGGGGAACCCTAACTTGGAGCATCAGTTCTTGCAGGGCTGAGACCTGTCCTCCTATTAGGTGGCTGCTAGGCAACAGGGGGGCTGCCTGGTTGCCAGAGCAGAGGGGATGACATCTGAGGTTCAAACAACTCCATAATCAGACTTTCTACAAGGTGCCCTGCTGCCACCTGCACTTCACCCTCCCTCTCCAGGGACTCCAAGGTTGAGACTGTCAGCTCCTCTGGGCTGCTCCTCCCTCCTCCCTCCACAGACACTGAGCTCCTTCCTCTAGCCACTTTCCTGCTCAAAACTCTGCTGGCATCTCTTGTCCACTGCTCAGCTCCTCTCTCCTTATCTTGTCCTTGGTTTTAATGATTTAAAGGGCTCTTTTTGTCTGTTGGGTTACCAGGGTTTTATGTGCAAGAAGATGAATACATATGGCCACAAATATACAAACTATTTTTGTGAGCAAAGTAGAATATATGTGAATGTTTAAAAGCACACTCCTTCATGTTTTACTTAGTCTCTCTTTTAATTGTGAAACGTGTCCAAGCATTAAATCCCATGTAGTAAAACCTTTATTTGTCCTGAAGCATGAATTTGAAAATAACCTGACACTGATATGTAATCATAAAACAATTTTCATTTACACTTTGCAATAACATATAAATCCATAACAGTCAGTAATAAAAGGATTGGAGAGTTCCAATCCTGAAAATAGAAAATAATCCAAATTAAAAATTTACCAATCACTAAAATATCCCAAATAACAAATAAAATCATTAACCTAGTAAGATTTTTCAATTAAGGTCTTTCTCTTACCTATTGATGTTCCAGTAACAAGGATACATATTTCACAGATCACATTGCAAACCCAATGCCTAACAATGGCCTTCCAAGTGCCTACTTCTACAGCTACAGGAAATAAGATGTGGACACTTCACACACACACACACACACACACACACGCACGCACACACACACACACACAATTCATTATACAGTTCAAAATTACTGCTTTGAAAATAATATTTGTTTTACAAATAAAAATTGTAATCATTGACATAAAAAACAGAAATTAGGTTTTCTTAATGAGCTATTCTATACATATTTTTAAAATCTAATAAATCTACCCTAGGGTCATTTTATCCCCTGAATCATCACCAGTAACTCTGAGCAGTTCATGTTCACAACTGAATTTGATCAAGTCTAAAAATTTTTAAGGTGTCACTTTTTAATTGTTTTCTTGACTTCTTTGACTAAGGATGCATTCATTTCTTACAAAATGAAACCATGAAAAGGATTGGTTTAAATGGAAACTTGGGTTTCTGCTTTGTCTCTGCTTTGCTTCTTGAGCACTTATAGGTGTGTCTGGGTATGTGTGGCTGAGTGTAACTTCTCTGAGCACCTGATGCCTAATAGGTAATAAGTATACATTATTGTCTTCTGATGTATTTTTGGCCCAATCCCTGGTATGGCAAGCCTGGAAATATAAGGTGTGTGGGATTCCATGAGATCCTACAACATCCACCTTGCTAACCTTATGATCAGATATAAGGAGGATAACATTGATGCTGTTTGTTCTAATTTCATTCTACTGTTACTGGTCTGAGTTAAACGGAATTCACTGACCTGTAATAAAATGCCTTGGACTGGAGTCTTAAATACAGTAATTACTAAGTATCTGAGGGGCATTGTTCCAAGACCTCCATGCAAACTAAAGCCCTCAGATGCTCAATTACTTATTATAAAATAACATATTATTTAATATAACCTGTGCACATCCTCCTGAATTCTTCAGATCACCTCTAGATTACTTATGACAGCTAATACAACATACGTGCTCTGTAAACAGTTGTTAAACCATAATGTTTAGGGAATAACAAGAAAACAAGGCTGCATATGTTCAGTAGAGAATCAATATTTTCCATTCACTGTTGGTTAAGTCTGTGGATAGGTAACCTGTGGATATGCAGCGCCAACTATATTTTGTTTATGGAACCAAGTACTCCCTTTCTCTGTCAAGGCATCAAATCATAACAGATGCAGTTACTCAAGAGCAATTATGAACCACTCTCAGACACCCAATATATACTGATGACTGCAGTCATTCAGGGTAATCACAGTGTATGTTACTGAGCCTCAGCACTGCAATTCCCCACCCACAGACCCTGAATCCAAAGTTACTTAATTCATCTGAATTTATCCCAGCAATCCTAACCCACAGCAGGAAGGAAGCAGACAACCAGGATCATTTTTCTTACATCAGTGCAATGGCACCCTACCCAAGCAACAAGGTGCCAAATCAGACCCAGCTTCCCTCTGGCATCTGAGTATTCCTGACCCCATGTAAATGTTAATCTTCCATAAAGTCTGTCAAAATTGAGCTTAAAGGTGAGTAGAAACTAAGTGCCAATTTCATCCAACACACAAACCCCAAACATAAGTAAAACTTTCTGAAAGGACCCTTGCAGAGTCCATGCAAAATCCAAAGACCACGCCACACACCGGAATCTCATGCAAGAGATTTATTGTCAGTAGCACAAAGCAAACCAACAAGGACATCCCTCCAAGGCGAGCCCCAGAGTGTAGGCACTCACACAGCAGCTTTATAGCCCTCAAGAGGTTTTTCATAAGCTGCTTAGGAGTTGTGTCATAAACTGGGGTGGGGATGATCTTAGCAGGCACATGTTCTTAAGGAAGTTCAGCAGCATGCCTCAGAATGGAAACTTTGAAGCCTCCAGATAAAATGTCTCCCGACCTAAAATGGTGAATCTGATGCCAACATTGATCTGATGCCAATACTTTCCCCATATCATCTTATCCTTCAATAGGCCAAATCTTACAACATTTTGCCTAGAATAAATTTAACTAAAAAAAAAAAAAAAAAAAAAAAAAACAGCCTTAACAAGTTGTGAAAGGATCCTCGAGATTATCTTTGCAAGCTTGAAATCCTCAAAACCACACCCCTGTGTGTGTTAGGTGTGGACCAGGCTAACAGAGAGGGGAGACCATGGCTCCTGCACAGAAAAAGCGCAGAGGAAGCCCAGTGCAGGCACCCTTGGCACCGACCCCTTGGTCTCTAGGCACCGACCTCTCAGCCTCCAGCCCTCTGGGTTCCCAACACCCAGCTCCCTGCTTCAGGACCCAGCAGCCTCCAGGTCTCCAGGAAGTAGCGATCTCCACTGGCGGCAGGACGGGCGGGGTCACCTACAATTCGGTTCTGGGAACTGCTGCTGGGCCCCCTTCGCGCCCACCCTCCCGCTGCAATAGTCTCGCCCTGTGTCGCTGAGCCTGCACGACCTGGATCCCGGTGGTCTACCGCGTCAAGAGCCGCCTGAGGTGGCAACAAGGTCGGAGGCTGCCACCGGGATCCAGAAGGTAACCTGAGCTGGGGCCCCGTGCCCAGCTCGGCCCCACTTCTCCAGGCACCGGATCTCTGTGTCCCAGCCCCGCGCATCCCCAGCCCCAACTCCCGCCGCCGGATAGGCCACCCCCGCGTGCCACAGCGATTCCCCTCAGACACATACCCCAGATTCCCGGCGCCACGACCCACAGCAGCAGAACCAAAGGAGGAAGAACCAGGGGCTTCTGGGCTTTAAATACTGGCAGGATGTGTATGAGGGTGGGGTACTGGAAAGAGCCTGCGCTATACAGGGCCAGCAGCTGCCTCCGCAGAGGGAGGCCTGAAGAGAGAAAGAGGGGAGAGGCCCCAGGTGTACACAGGTAGCCATTGCACTTTTGTTTTGTTTTGTTTCGTTTGTTCTAATTAGTTAGACATGGCAGTGGAATGCATTTTGATTCATTGTATACAAATGGAGCTAAATAACTGTTTATCTTGTTTTTTCCATTCCATATGCTATGAAAATCCTTCTAATCTGGTAAAAGATCTTTCCTCTTCTGTTTCCTGAGGGCACAGTATTCCTTTGCCTTTTGGAGTATTTCCAATCTTATGTCTTTTTTAAATAATGCCACCATAAGTAACCAAGTGAAACTCTCCTCAGACTTTAGGGCACATGCAGATCAGCTGCAGATGTTGTCAAAATGCAGATGCCAATACAGTAGATCCTAAGATTGGGCATTTCTAACAAGTTCATCTGTGACTAGCATCCTGCTGGTCCACAGACCAAACTCTGAATGGCAAGCTCTTAATGTCAATATGATTTTGTAACAGTGGAGAATTATCCACTAATCCAGATTTCCAGATCCCTAAAAGGAAATTTTCAGGTCAAAAGACAAATACTCTTGTTTTAGGTATCAAATTCCCTTTCATAACCAGGCCTGGTGGTACACACCTGTAATCCCAGCAGCTCAGGGGGCTGAGGCAGGAGGATTGCAAGTTCAAAGCCAGCCTCAGCAACTTAGCAAGACCCTATCTCAAAATAAAAAGGGCTAGGGATGTGGCTCAGTGTAAAGCACCCCTGGATTCAATCCCTGGTTCCAAAACCAAAATTCCCCTTCACAGAGACTGTGTCATTTTGTTCTTGACAAAAATTATCTGCTTGACCAAATCTTACTCAGCCTTCTGAACTTTCTCCTACCTTGTCAAATTCAGTTTTAACCAAAATCCTGCCAAATCAGTTTAGCCAGAAATCACCAACTTCAGTGTCTGACCAGCCTTGATCTGAACAGTTTCCTTATTACCTCTCTTCAACAAGAATCCTATTAGGTCAGTTCAGCCAAAATACCCCTTACCCTGATTTTTCCTCCTAGGAATTTTCCATCCCCAGCCTCCACACTACTCTAGACTATAAAAGCCCACTTGCACATGCTATATTCAGAATTGAACCCAATCCCTCTTACTCTACTATACAACTCCATTGCACTGATATCTAATACTTAATGGGTAAAGTTTTTTTTCCATGCTTTACAAATATCATTGAATACTTTATTTTCTCCAACATTTCTCACCAGCTGTATCCCCAGCCTTACTAATAGAGTTACTGTCAAACTTCTTGATTTTTGCCAACATGATAGGAGAGAAATATTAAATCAGTGTAAGTCTAGTAAACATTTTCTTTTTCTTTATTTTATGTCTTAAAATGATATTTCATTGGTGCTGCAAATTAAACTTGGAGTCTTTCACGGGCTGAACAGGGACTCTAGCACTAAGTTCCCACCCCAGCCCTAACATTTTGTTGTTAGGAGTGAGAATGGGCCAAGTGTGGTGGCAAATGCTTGTAATCCCAGCTCAATTCACAATAGCTAAACTATAGGATCAACCTAGGTGCCCTTCAACAGATGAATGCATAAAGAAAATGTGGTACATAGACAATAGAATATTATTCAGTCTTAAAGAAGAATGAAATTATGGCATTTGCAGGTAAATAAATGGAACTAGAGAATATCATGCTAAGTGAAATAAGCCAATCCCAAAAAAACAAAAGCAGAATGTTTTCTCTGTTAAACAGATGCTGATCCATAGTGAGGAGGGGAGATAGGGAAGAAGGAAGGAACTTTGATTTGTGTAGAGGGGAGTGAGAGGAGGGGTGGGGCTGTGGTGATGAGAAGGATGGTAGAATGAGACAGACATTATTACCCTATATAAGTGTATGATTTCACTACTGGAGTGGCTCTGAACCATGTAGAGCCAGAGGAATGAGAATTTATGCTCCATTTGTGCACAAAATGCATTCTACTGTAAAATAAAGATAGAAAGAAGGAAAGAAATCCATGAGTGTGCAGTATCATCTGCATCTTAAGTTTTCCTCAAGACTTTTGTGTCTGGACATGTATCCATGGAATGTCCCCAGGTGTATGTCCTAGAAGCTGAGTTTGGAGGACCTCTAAGCCATTTCAGTAGCCGGCAATAAAATATAACAAAGAATTTATTTTCATCAATCTAAAGATAAGTGTGGATTCAAAGATGAACAATCTTTAAGTGACTCTGTCTGTCAAAACATGTGCAACTTATGAGTCCTTTCCCAGAGGGCTTGCTCTGAGTTCTGGGAATCGAAGATGAAATCTGAATATGCTCACAGATTCATTAGGGAGGAGGGCTGTGGCACTATCAGAAGACAAGAAGCAGTGGAATGCAAGGGTTCCCTCTCATTTGCAGATCACTAGCAGTTATTCAGTGGTACTCAGTGATTCGTTGGTGTCTAATACTAAGAAAATTCACTATAAATATGTCTACTGAAAGACCTGATCCCAAGAAAGTTCTTTCTCTAACTTCAGATTAAATTGGTCCCTGATGCTAACAATGATGAGCAGCAGCTCTTAGTTCATAACAACTTGACAATTCCTTTTCTCAGACATCCCTGGATGGGGGTTGGATCCACTTGGTTTTTGAATGGATTTCAGTACTCCATGAAAAATAAAAGTAAACAAAGCCTTCTTGGGCAGCTAGACAGCAATCTGCATTTGCAATCTGTAAACTGGACATAAAGATTTACCAGGAATCTGGGTCATGAGTACTAACACTGTTATGGGCCAGGCTATATGGCCAATGACCAAACAGACTTCATTTTACCCTGAGACTCCATCTCATGTATGAAATGCTTCTTCCATGAGAAAATTCTGCCTATGCTAACCAGATCCTGCTTACCACATCCTGCTTAGAAATGCAAGTGTTTCTGTTCATTTTACACTAGGTAAAATTGTTCTCTTTTTGGTTCCCATTTCTCTTCAGCAGTGTTTCCTAGGTCAACATTTGTCTAGACATTAGTAATCATTCTTTGACTTGTACTCACCTACTATGGTTTTCACCCACTTCCCCTTCTGCCTATGATTTTAGATCTCATGATGTTTGTTTGTAGTTTTGAATCATAGCAACAGCCACTTGTAATTAATGTACTGATATGCTTTATTTATGTTATAAATGGTGTGCTCTAACCCATGGAGGGGGTTGAAGCTGTGGACTTGCAGCATGCTTCTTGACCTGCCAGCTGTTAAAACTGGACCAATAACTGGTGAAAAATGGCCCATATCCTGCTTTAAGATTGACTCAGTGATTTATTACAATCTTTCCATAACAACACAGCTTGATTTACTTCTGTATTTGGGATTTTTTAAAATAAAAATTTTGTTTTGCAGTGTTGTGTTCTGTACCTTCTTTATATTTATATATTTATATTTTAAATCCAGGGCCTGAGGCATGTTGAACATGTGCTTTACCACTGGCTCTGCTACGTGGTATATTTGGAAGCAAATGTTAGATTGTTAGATATTATACATTGACAGAGACACATTTGAAAAGAATGCTGCCTCCCCTATTTAGCTTATTGAATTCAAAGTGGATTTGGCATCAGACATAACATTGGAGCTTACATATGATCAGATCAAAGCATAGAAACTAGCTGGACATGGTGCCATGAATGTAGTCCCACCCACTTGGGAGCTGAGGATGTATGATCCCTTCATCCCAGGAGTTTGAGACCTACCTGGGCAACACAGCAAGACCTCATGAAAGAAACCAAGATGGAAGGAAGGGAAGGAAAGAAGGAAAGGAAGGAAGGAAGGAAGGAAGTTTGTCTATAAAGAAGAGCAATTATTATAAAAAAATTATTAAAGAATAAATAAAGGGCTTGGAATGTGACTTGGTGATTAAGTGCCCCTGGGTTCAATCCTTAATACCAAAAAAAAAAAAAAATAGCTGCAATTATTACCAATTTTTATCCCAAACTGGGGTCATTTTTCCCTCTTGGGAATACAGAACCAATAAATAAGACTCAAATCCAACTGACTGAGCAGTAAGAAAAATGCATATTCTTGGTGAAAGAATAGAAGAAACAGAGACAAGTCCTTGAATATCAGTTTCTTGGCTCATTGGGTATGGAAGAGCCTAGATATTGGATAAAATGAATGAAACAAGAATATTCCTCTCCTTTATTTAAGTGGGACAGAAGAGGCTGGAATCTGAAGAATTTTTAGGAAGCAAGTTGATTGACTGTAGGGTTCAGAGGTGGCTTAGGACTAAGAATTTTTCCTTTGAACAAAGATTTTGAAAATTTTTGAACTTTATATCCAGTGATGGGAAATGGGGAGGCTTGGAGGTTTACCTGAGAAGTGCTCTCTGTTCCATCTCCTAGATCAGACACAGGTTTCACAAGTTTTGTAAACCTGATGTTGACAAAAAGAGGAAACTACCAACCACAATATTACCAGTATGTGATAGAAGTTCTGGTGATAGAATGCTTTCTGAAGAAGAGGAACTTATAATTTATAAATATAGTGGGGGTTTCCACTTAATTATGGTACGGGTCTTCTAGGTAGGGGTCTCTGGCTGGCTTCATTATAAGTCTATCCCTCCTCCTTTCTAGAAATTTGGGCACCACCTCTTTTTTCTCCTTTTATGGTTCTTTCTGGCCATCATATCGGCAACTGTAGACCTTCATGGCAGTGGAGAATGTGATTAACCCTGCAGATGGAATTATAATGAATTTGTCATTCTAACAGTCATTCTAGAGCTGACCCATTTTGGCCAGCCCACCTGAAGAGGATTTCTGGACTTCAGGCTTCCTGTCCTCAAAGGTGAGCAGGATTAGGGTAAGATCAAAATTTAGCTGGGTCACGTAGGCATCAACCCCTCACCACACCACCTGCTCCACCCGGCTCACAAGTTACTTTTCACTCCTCATTTTGAGGGGGTCTGAAGGGCAAAGTGCTGTCTTCTGTAACACTTTCAAGCTGAATATGGGTAATGTCAAGGGGCCCAG